GGAAGCCCAATGTGGGACTCGATCCCGGGACTCCAGGATCATGACCTGAGCCGAAGGCAGTCGCTTAACCAACTGAGCCACCCAGGCGCCCCATGTCACAGGAAAAAATTTTAAGAAAAAAAATATATCTATCCCCAGACTGAGCCTTCCTACTAAAATGGCCAAAACTGTTTGGCTTTGTGGAGAGTCTCCAACTATGTGTCATCAGAAGAAAGCAGTGTCATGAAGGGGATATTCCGAATCTAGTGGCACTGAAGCCAGACCGAGGGCCTGAGATAAACCCAGAAATGCATTTCCCATTTGCCCCCATGGCCTTGCTGACTTAGAAAATGCTTCTGAATGCTTTGAATCTGAAAGGTACATAAAACCGAATTCTCTCTTCTGCAGGGTGAGTCATTAGAGATGGAGTGGAGGCTATTTGGTAATGGGCACTATTTAAATGAAGCAAAAAGTACAATTCAAACGAATTGCTTTTTAAACTGTCAAAGAAGAAGAATCCATTTGTGCATGTGAAATTATTCCAAGAGTTCTATTAACTGAAAGCAGGTGGAAGCTGTCAAAGAAAACAAATGTGCTATAAAAGAGCCGGCTAAACGTTTAAAGGCAGACACCTGATGACTCCTTTGGCCTGTTTCGGATTCAAAAATTTGTTTTAAACACCCCTAGGTGGGCTTCACGGACGAAAGTTTTAAGAAAATTTTAAATCCTAGTAAGCGGATGCCATTTTGTTTCTTGGACTTGTTTTAATCAATGTGACCTGAAGGCTGTCTTATGGATAGGACAACAGCATATTAACATTTTAACTTTTTCCTTCGGCTTCCATTTGATGCCAAAGCCTCTTGGCTGGCTTTCCAAATGATGCATTTCACACATTCTAGGGTTTTCTATTTGCTATTGATAAATGCATCCGTGTACAGCCAAGTCAATGAAAAGAAAATTCTTCAATAGTATATGAAAAGTGCCTTTTTATCCCTGGCAGGCATGCTTGGTAACAGTCACCAGTAAGGAGCAGAAGCCTTAATGGTGGGTGAGGCATCTCTATAGGCCATAGGGAGCCCTGCGCTGTTCTATAGGAGACCAACACCGGCCTTTTCCATTTCATTTCCTCTAGGGGTTTCCACTGCAATTAGTCTTGTGTTCATGCCTTCAGTGTCTTGTAGGCACTGAAACAGGGCTGCTGAAAAATAATTAGTGAACCACCGTCTCCCTTTCCTGGTGCTCTAAGTACTTCTTGTGCTCCTGTGCCAGACTAACAAACACAATTATCTGTGCTTAGACCAAGAGGAATCATGCAGATGGTGACCAGCTCGAGGCACTGGGACAGGCTCAAACCAGCCATGCTTCTCACACTTGGAAGTGCACACAAATCTCCAGGAGGTCTTGTGAAAAAATGCACATTCAGACTCCGTAGATCTGGGCTAGAGCCTTGGAGCCTACATTTCTTGCAAGTTTCCAGGCAGTGCTCATGCTCTGGTGGACCACATATTGAGTAGTGAGGAAATAATGCAGGTTCTGCCTAACAGTGACTTTTAGAACTGACCTATCAAACAGAGGTGTAGCGGAGGGTCTGGCTCCCCTTTGACTTAGGGTTCCTTGAAAGCAGGGACTAGATCTTACACATTTGTTGTTGTTGTTTTGTTTTGTCCTCTGGCTGGCACTTGGCACAGGTCCCTGCACACGGTGGGTGTGTATTTATTTAATTAAACAGATCTGGCTTTGTTCCAAAAAGGATTTTAAGTGGACTTAACCCCTAGTGTGTCCTAAGCTAGGTGCGTGCTGAACTGGCCAGGGAGGGAAGTCAGTCTCGGGGTGCATTCACAAACCCTCTGGGCTGAGGCCCTTCCTCGGCAGGGCCCCACCGCTTGCTTGCACCTGGATGCCACTCCAGCAGCTCTTCTTCTGAAATTCTCCCACCTGGTTTACACTAGAGAGTCGATCAGAGACAAGGAGGAAAACAAAACCAGACCAAACAAGAGAGCCCTGCGAAGCGGTAAGGCTGCAGAACATCAAAAGCTCAACTCCGGGCGGCGGGGCCGCGGAACTCTGGGGTTTCTCCCACTGCCTGATCTGAGCGTTTTGCAGGTCGGCATTGCGCCCCAGCCGCCGGCTCCCCCGCCCACCCCGAGAGCCCTGCAGGAGCGGTCCCGGCGGGCGCGGGCGCCTGTTGGCTTGGTGCATGCCTGTTAGCTCCGCTCGAGCAATTAATCTTCTCGTGCATCTGCCGCCCCGGGTGGGGGGGAGGGGAGAGAACGGGGGGGGGGCTCCGGTCGCCTTGGGGGTCGTGGGGAGCCTGCACAGGATCGGCCGCGCGGCAGAAACCCTTGTTCCGAGAGTCCCTGCGTTGCCAGAACCCGTTCCTCTCTGCAGCGGCCTCGGAGGGTAGAGAAGGGATGGTTTCGCCTCCAGAAGGGAGGGAGGGGGGCGATTATATTGGTCAGTAGTTGAGCCTGACGGGGGGAAGGGAGGAGCGCACGGGCGAGTGCGCCCTCGGGGAGGAGTACACGTGCTGAGGAGGGGGGTGAGAGGCGGGCGGGAGGGGAGGAGAAGGGAGGCGAAAGCCGCGGGCGGGAGGCGCCACGGCCTCGCAGACGCAGGCGCGGGCAGCCGGAGAGAAAGTTCCTGGGGAGAGCTCGCCCCCGGGAGGGCTGACGTCGAGGCCGTTCGCCGCTGAGGGTCGCAGGTCCCGGGGGACGCCAGCCTACCTTCTCCCCGCGCGCGCGCGCTGGGCCGCCCGGGCTTGGGCTCGCCGGGAAGCAGGGGAGCGGTGCTGTTGGGCGGCCGCCGCCAAACTTGGAGGGGGAGAATGCTGCGAGTGGGAGCGGCGGCGCGGGGCGCGGGGGCGCACTGAGTGCTCCCTGCGGGCGCCCCCCGGGCACTGCTGCCGGGGCTGCGGCCGGGCAAGCGCGCGGAGGCTCAGCGGGCAGGTAGCGGCGCCAGCGCCGGGACTGCGCCAGCCCTACGAACCAGGGCCGCCAGCGCCACCGTGCCGGCGTCGCCTCCTCTCCCCCGAGCCATGGTGCGCGGAGCGCGCACGCCGCGCGCGGGACTCTGAGCTCCGGCTGTGCCGCGCGCCCCCACCTCCCTTCTCCCGGCCTCCCCGGCGACCTTGCCCGCGGACCATGAAGCTTTGGCCGGGAGCCTCTCGCCTCTGAGCTTCGCGTCGCTCCGCCACAGATAGCGCTCCGGCCGCCGAAGCTCCCCATCCTCTCCCAGGGACGGCACCCGGGCGCTCCAGGATGGCCCTCCGCGGGTCCCTCCGGCCGCGCAAAGTTCGCAGGAGGCGAGAGATGCTGCCGCAGCAAGTTGGCTTCGTGTGCGGGGTGCTGGCCCTGGTGTGCTGTGCCTCCGGCTTCTTTGGCAGCTTGGGTAGGTGCCGGTGCGGGCCCGCCCGGGGAGTTGAGGGGCTCGGGCTGGGAAGCCGCCGGGTAGCTCCGAGATGTCTCCCCTTCCTTCCCCGCCAGCTTGGTCCCAAGGATTCGTCCAGCCCCGTCCCCTCCCCACCGGGCAGGTAGAGCGCACCCAGGAGGGCTGACATCGACGCTTTGAGCTGTGGCGCTCGTTTCCCTGAGCTGCGCGCGGCCCCTGGGGGCTCAGGACGCGGCTGCAGGTCTGTGTTAACCAAGATGAAAGCCTGAACATCGGGCCGCTTCGTGCCAGAGTTCTGTCCCCAGAGTGCGTGGGGGGAACGCGCGGCGCAGAGGCGGGTGCAGGTGTGAATTCTCTTAGCCTGGGGCGGACCAAGCTGAGTGGTCCGCTTTACAATTTTGCGGATCCAGGACCGTCGTGCTCCGCGTTTCTCGAAAACCCAGATACGGAGGCTGGGAACATGAGTCTCAGCCCTCCCCTCGCCCCTTGCTGAAGGAGTGCCCTGGGTGTCCTGGCGCATCCTCTCCAAACCCTAAAAACGTCGAGGGCAGCCCCCTCAGGAGGTTGCTGCCAGGTTTCAGCATCGCTTAACTCCTCTTAATCGCCACGGTAGGAGAGCCCTGGAGTCTGGAACCACAGTTCACACTTCTTCATCCAAGACGGAGGGATTTGGGAGTTGCTTGCTTAGGATATGCAGATTTGAGGTGGAGAGAGAAAGAAACTTAGAAAAAAAAATCTGGGGGTGGAGTGGGGGATGTGAGCCCATGTGGAATCTTCAGAAGCCATTCACTTGGCGAATACTCCCATTTTTAGTTGGACACGGTGGACCTTTTACTTCTTCACATTTAAAAAAACAAACGAAAGAAATGCAGGTGATTTAGCAATCTGGACATGGAGATAAAACAGGGGGTGCCTTTCTGAGCAATTAGAGATCGTCTAGAGCGATTTATAGTGGTAGGTAAAAATCAGGTGGGACTTGATTAAACTCTTAAAAAACTGCTTTTCAAGACCCCAACTTGTGATTTGAGGATAGAAGGTCAAAACATGGCTCTTTCCAACAGAAACTTAGAAAGGTTATTTGAACATCTTAACCTGATGCTTTGCGATTGAGCAAGTCAGTGTATTTTTTCCCCTCAGCTACACACCAGAAATAACAAAATACTTAAAGGCTCTTTAGTGTCAGCATTATAGCAGAGGTATTATTACCCAGCTGAGGCAGTGTGCACACGAGGAGACGTAAATGAATACTCTGAAGCTCTTAAAGTGGGAATCGTTCGTATTTGCTAGATCAGGAATTACCTTTAGGAGTTTAACTGTGTGTGGTCACCGGCATCCACACCACTACTCTCCATTGTTACTCTGTGGCCCTCGGACCAGCAGAATTAGCATCACCTGGGAGCTTGTTAGTACAGAATCCCAGGGCCCAGCCTAGACCTACTGAAACAGAATCTGCATTTTGACAAGGTCCCCAGGGGATTTCTGTGCACATTTAAGGGTGAGAAGCTCTGGGCCAGACCCCCTCAACCTTCTCCACCTACCTGCTGACCTAATATCCATTTGCAGTTCCCCTGGGGGCAGGGACACCTGAGCATGTTTACTGGACAAGAACTTCACGGTTACCTGTCTAAATCCTTGTTGCACCTGTGAGGGGCCGAGCCCTCTTGGCCAAGGTCAGATCACGGGCTGACGCATCTGGGGCTAGAAACAATGGACCAGATCTAGGAAACAGATTACTGTGTGTGAAGCAGGTGATATTGTGCTTCCAATCATTGTATTACTCCCAACAGGTGGCTCTAAATAGTCACACAGGGCTGTTGCTGGTGTAGCCAGATACAGACATGTAAGGTCATTGGAAGAATGGAGGCACCATATTGACCTAATGGTGTTTGTGACTTATTTTCCAATACAGGGCATAAAACAGCTTCTGCTAGCAAGCATGTTCTACCAGACACATGGAGACATAGAAAGCTGATGGCACCTATGAACGGGACTGAGACAGCTAGGAATTGCACAGATCCTGGTAAGAAATCCATCTCCCCCTTGCCTCAAGGCATTTGGCCTGGAGATGGTGCTTCCGTGGACATGACAGCCAGAGCAGAGAAAGGTGGTTTGATGAACCCGAGTGGGAAAGGGTAGCTGAAAGGTGTAGATTGGTAACGTACAGGCGTTAATCAGTTGTGCTGCTAAGCAACTCAAGTACTTTCTTTACCCAGCAACAGGAAAGGTCACATTGGAGAGTTTTGAAATTTCCTTTTTTGTTCTCACAATGCTCCTAAAGGCTCCGTGTTTCCCCCTGCTGTCTTGATTGTGCTCGCCTGGGTGTCTTTGTTTTCTTTCCCTCTTGCTCACGGTATCCATCTGACGGACCTCGAGGGGCAGTAAGGCTGCTCTGGCAGGTGGCACTTTGGGATGACCCTCCCACCAGGGTCGCAACACACCAGGGCACCTGCAGGGGTAGGACACTTGAGTGCTGGGGTCCTCTCTCTACAGTGGGAGTTCCCAGGGTACGGTGCTGGCTCGGCGGTGGGGGGGGGGATGGGGGGAATGGATTCTGCTTCCTGTGGGAGATGGTCTTGCTGTTCCCGTTCAGAATTCTCTAGGGGGTCGGAGCCTGTAGGGACCCAGAGATGACCTCTTATCTGTCCTGCCAGGGGCAGGTTTTGCTTAAATGGGTGAAGAAGATTCTCGGGAGTGTGCCAGCAAGTGGTGAGGCAAATGGAAGCTGCCCAGGCCTCAGGGCAGTCCTGGGCCGGAACACTGTCTCCAACAGAGTCTTTGTGGGAAAGATCCAGTGGGATGAAGCATTCAAAAGCCCGCTGAGACCTTTGAGGTCTTACTGCAGATGGGTGCCACTTTGCTCTTCCACCGCATTGCCCGGCAAGTCACAGCATCTTTTGGGGTCTGTTTTCCCACCTGTGAAATGGGCAGAATTGTACTTCCTGTTCTGGGGTTGTTGGGGGAAATCTGTTAAGGCCCTGGATGGGGCTGGGTGTAAATGGGAATGGAAACCCAGGTTTTGATGGCATTCTTCTTCACTTGTGTTCATAGGCAGGTCTTCTCTGCATTCTATAGGTCAGGAGACCTCTAGGGGAAGACATGAGTTGCTCAGAGTCATAAGTCTTGTAAGTGGTGAAGCATTGGAACCTCAGCCTGTGTGATTAAATATATGTTTGGTTCTATGGGCATAAGGAGGCCAGGGCTGTCCCTCAAAGCCTGTCTGCTACACCATCAACCCCTCTTCCCTCAGGATGCCTTCTGAGAAGGCCTTGTGGGACGTGGAGGGTAGGTGAGTCCAGGCTTGTAGAGAAGCTGCCGGGATTCCCTTTGAACTTGGACCATTCATTACTGAGAGATTCCTGGTGAGTCACTCTGCAGGCGATGGTGCTCATCCCATCATTTAACTTCCCTCGGACCTATTTCATTACCAGAAGTGGTGGGGGCATGGACTGGACTGACAGGTGACCTTTGTAAGGCCAGAGGTTAACATTGAGGTCCATGTCCTCCAGGGACCTGAGATGCGAGGATCAGCTCCAGCCGCGGGGGCTGGGAATGCTTTGCTACTCTGGGTAAAGAATCCAGGGTAGTGCATCTTTGGTTTCTGCCTTGCTGGTGCCCTCACTTTGGGCAGGCTCTGCCCTCCTCCTGTAACTTCTGTCACCTGTAGTCTGGCCACATCGGCTTAGACAGGGCCCTGTTTCTTGGGATAGAGTCTCATGTGCTCCCTCATTGCCCCGTATCTTCAGTGTACTTTCTCATCCAAAATTATCCGACTGACTGTGGAGTAGCCCGTCCTATTTGGCAGGAAGACCTGGCCTTGTCCTTATGCTTTTTGTTAACTGTTTCTGGGACAGGGCCCTGCATGTAGGAAGGACTCCATAAAGTTTGGTCGAATGATGGAATGAAAGTGCATTTCGACTGTGAAGCACTTTTATCCTTTCAGTGTTTTTGCAATGATGAGGAACGGGGCAGGGCTCAGAAGTTTAGTGACTCCCCAAGACCTCTTGGCAGGCAGGTGCCTCCCTGGTTCACCTGGGTCCAGACCCATGGCTTCCCCACTCCATCGCACCTGCCCGAGCTTTCCTTCCCGCCCAGGCAGGTCTGAGACCCGACTTCCCTTCCAGACACCTGGGCCCTGGGCCCCCTTTCCAGTTCACAAGCACGTACACAGCACGCACTTGCTGTTCTCTCTCCTACCCTGTGGTGGGCACGTGGCGGCGGTGGTTGGGGGGTGGGGCGCGCTATAAGCAAGCATGAGAGATAGCCCTTGTCATCAAGTAGCTTACGGTTGTGGAGAAGACCAGCTCCTGACACAGGGAAAACTTGGTGAGGAAGAAGGACGGCAGAGGTCCTGTAGTCAGCAGCCCCCAGGGGGCCACTTTCAGGGGCTCAGAGGAGGGTGACTGGGTCTGATGCGGTGTGTGGAGTCTTGCGGCCTACATGAGGCAGGCCTCAATGGCAAAGACAGGAAACCTCCCCAGACTGGGTTTAGCGGAAAAAGGGAAATTTACTGGGCCAGTCACTGAATGAGTGAGATCAAAGGTTAAGTGTCATGACTCAGTTTCCCTCTGTCTCTGGACTCTGGAGTCCTCCAGGGTGGGAAGGTGGTTACCACGGCTCCAGCTTCTGGCCTTCCAGACCGCAGAATGTGTGCCCCCCATGGCTGCCATCCTTCCGTGGGAGTTCTGAAGTCCTGTTGGCTTGGGGCACGTGGCCCCTCAGCCGCTTGCCAGGGCCAGAGGAGGGCTGGGTGTGGGCTGGCTTAGACCTGAGTCTCAGGCTCTGCTTCTGGAATGCTGCTTCAGTAAAGGTGGACCAGAGCTTCCTCCCACTTAGAGTGTCGGGGTGTGACGGAGGGTGGCACCCACTGGCTGCCCTCTTCCCTCCACGGGTAAAGGAGTTGCCCGGGAGGAACCATAGAGGGGGTTCTTGCATCCTCTGAGGCTTCTGCTCTGCGTCCGTTCCACCAGTCCTGGTCTACTAGGTGAGGTCTTCTAGGGACGTGGGAAGATGGAGCTTTAAGAATTTCCTGCTGTGTCAGAGTATCCCGAGCTAAAGCACCCGTATCCCCCACCCGTTTTCGACAAGTCAGTTCACGTTTTTGTAAGAACGTCTCGGGGGCGGGGGGGGAGGGACTGGGTCTTATTTTCTGTAGCCTCTGAGTGTACCTCCTCCCCTGTGAGAGGAATAGCTTCTACTGGGGAAAAGCTTCAGGGCACCCTGCTCTAGTCGTTCCTGAAGACTCAGTCTGGAAAATGGGCCCTTGGCTCTGCCTGGGGTCACTTCCCCAGGTCTTGCTGGTGTTCCCATCCCACGGTCTGTGTTGCGGCTTAAGTGCCTCCCCCATCACGTTACCCTGTATTTTTATGACCTGTATCACCATCTAAAGTAACTTATTTGTCATCCATTCCCCTTGAGGGCTCCCTCGCTCACTGCCCTGTGTCCAGAAGAGTGATCCCTAACCCTGCCCACATCTTGCAGTCAGGGAAGAGCTTCTGAAATGCCCAGGACCCAGCCTTGGAGTGGCTGCCATCACGGGTCTGGGGATGGGACCCAGGAAGCCGTATTTTTTAAGAGCTCCCAGGTGAGTCCGAGATGAAGCCGGGGGTGGTGCCCGCTGGGTGAGAGTCCTGCTGTCTGGAGTGGTTGGCATCACCAGGCAGCTTTCTGGGAATGCAGAGTGTCAGGCCCACCCCAGGCCTTCTGCATCAGAATCTGCATCCTAACGAGATCCCGGGGTGATGCGCGTGCACCCCATAGGCAGAGAAGAACTGGGCTAGGGCGCTGCCTGACCCTTCAGAGGAGTCCAGTAAATATTTGGGTGTTGAATGAAGGCTAAGACTTGGTGTAACACAGAGACTTCCTTGAAAACCAGTTTGGTGTCGTTTTTGAATGTAGAGAAATTATATATAAAAAAAAAAATCTTCATTTTTGACTACTGAGGTCTGGGGGGAAGTCATTAATTTATCTTCCCCCCAAGATCTGGGCCTCTAGGACCTAGATTTTTATTTCATGGTCTGTGAAGAGCAAGCACTACAAAAGAGAAGTGGGTCCCTCTACATAAAATGCATGAAATAGTGAGAGGCTGCAACTTTGAGTCTTCTGGACTCTGTCTTAGCTCAGGTTGTCATAACAAAATACCGGAGACGGGGTGCCTTAATTGACAGACCCGTATTTCTCACAGTTCTGGAGGCTGGGAGGGTCCAGGGGTGGTTCCTGGTTTGCAGATGGCCCCCCACGTCCCTGTGGGCTCACTGGGTAGAGGGAGAGAATCTGGGCTCTGGTCTCTCTTCCTCTTCTCCATGAGGGCACGAATCCCATCATGGGGAAGCCCCATCCTCATGACCCCCTCCAAACCTAATTACCTCCCAGAGGCTGCACCTCCAGGTCCCACCACCTTAATAGAGGAGGACTTCAACACAGGAATCTGGGGGAGATGCAGACCTTCAGGAACCAAAGAGTTTCTGCACATCTCTGGCGGTGGCACCTGGGGTGTAAAAAGGCAGCCGAGGGAGGAACCAGGGATTCTACTGGTGAGAAACACCTGGAGGCTCTGAAAAATGCAGGTGCCTGGGCCTAGCTCTGAGCTATGAAATCAGAACTGGTGGTGAGCCCATTGTGGGGCCGACTTTTGGGTCTTCTGGGAACCATGCTGCTCCCGCCCCCCCCAAGATCTTCCAAGATGGGTTTGTCATTGCCGCGTCCCACGGGCCTTCTCGAGAATGATCACCCAACCCGAAGTAGCCTTCCGGTCACTGGTTCTCTCATTGTAGCTCTTTGCAGGCACAATTGTGCATTGTTAAATTGTTGGTTTGCCTCCCGACTAGAATATAAAAGGTGAGTGGTGTTTGCTTTTTAAACCCAGCGTCTGCTTCAGTTTTTCCTTCTGGGGTAGTAAAGGGGGTGATAATTGCATCCACCTCAGAGGGCTGTTAGAAATAAATGAGTTAATACCCATGAAGCACTTATACACATGCTCAGATGTGAGCTTCTGTTTTCATTATTGTTTTTTCTTTTCTGCTT